CCGCTCCCAGCCACCGCAGCCTCGACGTGCTGGGCTCCAGCGATCCTTCCGCCTCAGCCTTCCAAGTAGCCAGAATTACAGGCGTGCACCACCACGCCCGGCTAATTTTTTATTTATTATAGAGATGTGGTCTCACCAAGTTTCCAGGGTGGGTCTTGAACCCGCGGGCTCAGGCAATCCACTCACCTTGGTCTCCTAAAGTGCTGGGATTACAGGATGAGTCACCCAGCCCAGCCCAAAGTTTTTCTTCAAGTAATGCTGCCTGAAATATGCTTTTATATGGGAGAATAAAGCATTCTGCTAATTTTGTCCATGTCTTGCTACACTGTGAGTTTCAGAAGTGTCAGTTTTCTAACTCTTCGTTTACCTTTTTTCTCAGTTCCATCTTCTCCAAACCTCAGTCCTCTTGTGTTTGCCTCGATCACTTTTGTGACTACTTCAGGTTGACAATTGTCCTCTCTTGTGGTCCTCTCCACATTCAGTCACTAGTATTCTCATTCTCTCAAAATTATAAGGAAAATTTACTTACTTCCTGATGTCAGAGCTATTGGCTTCACATTGTCTTCTTATTGTTATAATTACTCTACCCTGGCCAGGCTTGGTGGCTCAACCTGAAATTCCAGTACTTTGGGAGGCTGAGACCAGCCCAGGCAACTTGGTGAGACCTTGTCTATACAATACATCAAAAATTAGCCAGGCATGATAGCATACGCCTGTAGTTCCAGCTACTTGGAAGGCTGAGGCAGAAGGATCACTATAGCCTAGCAGGTCAGTGCTGGGGTGGCCGTGAGTGTGCCACTGCACTCCAGCCTGGATGACAGAGTAAGACTGCAACTCAAAAATTAAAAAATAACAAAAAAAAATTACCCTTTGAGTCATGTGATAGTATTGACAGTATGACCTTATGCTACCAGTTATTTTAGGCTTTACATGGGAAATTTGCCTTCTCAAATTGAACTTTAAAATTGGTCTTTAATTGCTGTTATAGTGTTATTTAATATAGGTATGTGTCTCTGGGAAGTTTCATATCAATTGATTCATAATTTCCCGTTTACTTAAAATTCCAAACATGGGGTTTCATGAAAATAAAATTTTGTTTTGAAAAGGTTATAAAAAGAAAATAAAATTGACTTATCCAAACTGTCTGAATATTCTAAACACAAACCAAAGCAAAACAATAATTTTATGAGGATATATGGTAAACATATATTCATTTTAACCATGGGCCTGTGTTTAACCTGTGGTCCCAAGTTCTTCCCAGGAAACTCCATGTCCATTTTCAGTCATCACAATTCTCTCTTCTTTCCTCTCTATTACACAGACAGGCACCATGCAGACTGAGAA